CAGGGACCGTTCCCAGGCCCCCGGCCGGCAGCGGGCTGTGTCGCCGCCCGGGCGACCCTCCTCTCCGGCGTCGTAAAGCCAGAGACCCGGAACTTGGAGGGCACTGGAGCGATGCCACCGGGGGCGGGGAGGGGGCGCAGGGAGGGAGCTGGGGTTGGGGCCGAGCTTGGAGCGCCTTGGGCAAGAGTGCCACTTTCAGCCGCTTTCCGGGCTCCGACCCCTCCCCCAGGGCACTGGGGGTCTGCAGACCCGGGTGCAGCTGCGGAGGGTCTGGAGGGCGCAGGGCTCCCAGAGTCGTTCTGGGGTTCTGGCCCGCAGCCCGCAGGGAAGGCGCCGGCTGCGCCCCGCCTCTCGGGAGACAAAGGTGGGGGTCTACTCTGACCCCAGTTAGGACCGCTCTTCGCCCCCGCCAAGGGGCACCAAGGAGGGAGAGATGAAAACACAAAACCGTTTGAGGCACCCACCCCCTCCCCCAACCGGGAACCCAGGTACAGGTCGGGCGGCTTGTTTTCCCAGACGCCGTGACAATGTCCTTACAAATGAGTAACCCGAGGGCTTCCTCCTCCGCGGGCGGCTGCCTAGAAGCCCACCGCCCCCCCCAACACACCCCGGGTTCCCTCCCAATCTCCCCTCCCCACCTGGGGGCCGATGGGGAGGGGGTGCACTGAACCTCAGCCAGCGCCTCCCAGGGGGAAGAGGTGGTAATTAACCAACTGACTTTGACCCTTGATCTGCCAAGTGCCCTGGCAGCGCCCCAGGCCTTAGGTAGGGAATGGGTGACTTCACGAGGGGCCTCAGCAAGTAGATAAGGAGACAGGGCTGTGGTGGGGAGGTCTTGGTGCCCTGACCGCCAAGCCCCAGGTACCGGGGTGCCAGCCACAGGCTAGTCTCAATCTTGCCTTAAGCCCCGGCCCCTCTCCTACCTCCTCAAAACCAGACAACAGTGCCAGAAGTCCCTGAGGGCTTCTGTGGGGAAACTGAGGCAGGAGAGGACCTCAGGAGGTGGGCTCCGGGGCATGCCTGAGACTCCCATCGCCTGCTGGGTGGCCTCAGTGGCTGCCTCCCTCACCTGCCTAGCTACTCCTGGACTGTGGGGAGGGGAGCTGGCTGGAACAAACGTCTCCTGCATGCTGTTGTTTGTAGCTTTGCTTCACACCCAGTCAGTCGGGTAGCAGATCTTGTGTTGACTTTTACAAAGGACAAGAAGGATTCCGTTGGTTCAATTCCATGACCTCCTTGCGTTCTAGTGATTTTTCCCAGCGGGGAGTGGAAGTGACGGGGACTCTGTGCCCAGGGGCTGCCCAGTGAATGTGTGTGTGTTGGTGGGGGGAGCGGGGGTGGAATAGTGGATAGCCCTGCCTGTTGCTGTCCCTGTGGCCAGCGGGAGGGAGGGCCCAGGGTCCAGGCACCAGGGTGCTCTCTGCCATCACCAGCCTGGCAGCGCCCACTTCTCCCTCGTCCGTCCGGTGGTGACAGGAGGGGCCTGGGGTGGGGAGAGTCAAGCGGTGGAGGAGAGTGGGGACTTCTCAAAGCCATGGTCCCACAGAAATTTCCCAGCTCTTGGGAATGAGAAAGAGTTTCCCCATGTACTCCCGTGTGCTCCCGAGGGCAGGAGAGTACTGGGTCGGGGTGTGTGTTTGTGGTGGCCTGTCCCCTGCCTGGGCCATTCCATCGCCACCCAACCATGACCCCGGGAGCCACCCACCCGGCACGTTTCCCTCACTCCACAGAGTCCTGGCACGCACGTCGTGACCAGTAAGAGGTGACCCCGTTCCCTGGGCAGTGGCACTGGGAACATGGGAGTATTTATTCTAACCCAGGGGGCACCCTCAGAGCATCACCGAGAGGCGGGAAGGAGGTGCTGTGCTTGGGAGATGCCCCAGCCTGGCAGCGAACACTCATACCAGCCTTCCGGAACTCAGGCAGGAGAGCAGTCAGCTTCCTCAGCCTCAGTTTCCCCCTCAGCCCCCAGAGCGGAGGGGAAGGCAGGAAGTGGGCATCGGCAGCCCCGGGGCTCTGAGGTGGAGTGGGCCCTGGCGGGCAGAGCGCTCCCCAGGTGGGTCCCCCCACCCCGTGTCAATATTGACTGAGGAGTTACAGGGAGCCGTGCTGATTTCTGGAAGACAAACTCCGCACCTGCACCCAGGGGGTAAATTCCACCTCTGGGCTGATGGGGAAGTGCCTGCCCCCATAACAGGGAGGCAGCCTGCCTCTCCCCGATGAGGGTCCTGAGCAGGGGTACAAGCCCCAGGGAGGGACCAGGCGGAGCCCCAGGGGTGGAGTTGGTTATTCAAGTGACAGGGCTTTGCCAGGAGGTGGTGCAGGCTGAGGCTTAGCTAGGAGTCCTCTGGACCCGACTCTCAAGGGTGTGGGCCTGGGGGATGGGAGCAGAGACTCCACCTCCCGTAGTGAGTCTCCTCTCTCCCCAGACCTGCCAGGTGGGGGTGGGGGGCCGTTATCAGGCTGCCAGGCCCTTGGTCCCTGAAAGAGCAGCTGAGGGCAGCAGGGAGGAAGTCGGGGCCGCCAAGAATGCTGTCCCTCCGTGTGGACAGTGCGTCGGGTCTTCGTGAAGCTCCTGAGCCATGCCCAGCCCTGTGCTGGGGGCGAGGAGCAGAAAACCACCCTGTCCTTGCCTGGCAGGCCTGTCCATGCGAGCTGAGACTCCAATTCCACCCTCGCAAAGAAGCCGAATAAAAAGCTGTTGCCCACCCCCCACCCCTGAGGAAAACGTTTGGCACTTCCCGGGATCAGCAACAAAAAGTTGAGAGAGACCCATTGTGCTGCCAGCGGTGCCCACCTCTGCCCGGTGGCAACTGCTTACAGACGCAGCCTGCCTCATCAAGCCAGCCTAAAACCAGGCTGGGTCCCACCGTTAGCACCCTCCCTTCTCCTCCAGGCCATGGGCAGGGGGCCAAGGAGGCTGGGCAGCCTCCCGCCTGCTTCACCTGGGCTTCAGGTGAGCCGAGTCCGGGCCTGCTGCCCAGCCGAGTCCCGAGGACTTGCACGGAGTAAACCCTGGCATTTTATTTAAAACGCCGGCCAGTGGCTTCTACTCCCAGAAAGGGGGTTCTCAGGTGGAGCCGCAGACAGTCTGTGGGTCTGTGCTCCGCCCTGGCCAGGCCCTCTGCATCGTCCAGGTGGAACCTGGCTGGGCGACAGGAGGGTGCTAGCACAGGGCCACCTGAGGAAGCAGGGAGGAGGCCCGTAGGTCTGGCCTGGCGACAATTCCCCAGCTGTGGGCGGGCAAGGAGTAGCCCCAGCGGCTGGCCGCCGCCTGGCCGGAAACATCTAATTAGGGGACAGAGCAACACAAGCAAGGACCCAACCAGTTCTGCTTCCTGGCGCTGCCACTCGGTGACACTGGGTGACAGTAGCACAGTAGCGGCACGCCGTGGGCATTCCCTGTGCGTGCAAGGCACGCACGGGGGTGGCTGGAGGACAGGTTTAACAGGGGTGGCAGGAAGTGAACTGGCCACCAGGTAGCTGCCGACCAGCCCCACCTACCCCTGGCCCTGAGTCGAGGTGGCTCCGAGAGCTGGGCAGGGCACCTCCCTCCTCCCCAGTCCCTTCGTGCCACCATCAGGGTGGCGTGGATGACAGAGGCAAGGGCGGGGGGTGGGGGGGTGTCTCCCAAACCAGCTTAGATCCTTCGCACCCCAATCTGACCCTCCCCTCCAGTGGAGCAAGGAGGCCGCCAGAGTCAGGGCAGTTGGAATCAACTATCCCTCCCCAGAAGGAGCCCTGGTGGTGCAGTGGGTAAAGTGCTTGGTTGCAAACCTCAAGGTCAGCCGTTCAAACCCACCAGATACTCCTTGGGAGAAAATGGAACCTATCTGAATTTTCGGTTTTGGAAACCATGGGGCCAGTGCTACCCCATCCTAGAGGGTCCCTCAGAGGTGAAATCGACACAAGGGCAGTGGGTCTGGTCTTTCAACCCCTCTCCCCCTCCCAGGAGCCCTCGAGAACAGAGGAAGCCCTTGACTGCCATCGCCCCTCGGGAGCGAGCTGTGGCGGTCCCACGCTTCTCTGTCCTAAGGGGGTTGGACTGGACTCTGCCGCATCAGGGACACTGTGGGAAAGGGGACCTGTCCGTCCCTCCCCAGTCAAGGAAGCCGGCCTGGGCCTTCAGCAGTGGCTTCTCAGCCGGCCGCCCCGGAAGCCGGGGACGGTGGCGTCGGTGCTGGCAGCACCAGGCCTCGCCCGGTCGGTCGCGTGCAGCCATCGCCCCCAGCACGCGTCCTGATGACGCACATGGCCGTGGTGGCGTCGCGGCCAGGCCAGGGTGAATCCACACCCACCCGCCGCAATGAGCTGGCTCGTTAGAGTCTGCGGACAGATGGACGCCAGAGCCCGCAGAACGGGTCCGGGAGGCAGGCATGTGCAGTCTTCTGCGCTCAGACTCTGTTGTGTCCCTGGGGGCGAGCCTCGCCCGAAAGGTCGCTCTTCTTGCCTCCCTGGTGACCGCGCCTTCCCTTCAGCCCCCGGCCTCCCCCCTCAGCAGCTGGCTGGCAAAGGGCCCGACAAACCGAGCAGGTGCCGGCTCAGAGTGACCCTGTAAGGACGGGGTAGAACTGCCCCTATGGGTGTCTGAAACTGTAACTCTTGACAGGGTTAGGAAGCCTCGTCTTTCTCCCTCTGAGCGGCTGGTGGTTTTGAACTGCTGTCCTCATGGTTAGCTGCCCAGCCACTCTTTCTCCTAAGCCCCTCTTTTTCTTCTGTGACTCAGCCACGGGCCCCTCGCTGGCAGGCCTTCCATAGAGTGCTCAGGCTGGGGGCAGGCGGAGAGTGGTCCAAACCACCTGGTGGGTGCTTGCCCCGCCCGAGCGGCTTTGAGGCCGCACTCCTGCGTCAGTTTCTCTCCAGGCAGGGCTGGGGCTGCCCCAGCCCCGTTCAGTGTGAGGTGTCTGCCCGGGAGCGGCTGCCTCAAAGGGCGGCCAGGTATCGGTGCCGCCGCTGCCAGAGGTGCCCAGCCTCGCTCTGCCTGGTGAGCGGTCCCGGCTGTGGGGGCGGGTTGTGTAACCGCTGGGCAGGCCGCCCAGAGACTGCTACGCCGCCCGCCTTAGCCACCTGCTGCTCCCTGGTCCACCCCACCCAGAGTGGGAGCCAGGAGCCTTGGTGGGCCTGCCCAGAGAAGGAGGGGACAGGGACACCCAAGTCCCCACCCTACTCCCCCAAGGCCAGCAGCTAAGTCTCCCTGGAGCAGGAGACCCCCCTGAGATCCCACGGGTCAGGCTGAGTCTCGGTGTGCTGTCCCTGGGCCCAGCCCCTCCGGGGCCACCCTCTGTCCCTGCAAAGTAGAGCTTGGTCCTGGAATCCAGCGGGACTGGCCCAGGTGGGGCACCGACATTGGCAGGGCAGGTGGGTCCTCCCAGTTCCGCTAAGACAGGGATTACTCAGAGGGCGGCCGTGGGCTGTGGCGCTGCTTGGCTGGCGTCACCTGCTATTACCTTAATGGGGCGGGCGGGAGGCGCCAGCGGTGGGTTGGGGGCAGCCCTGCTCTGCAGCATGCCTGCCAGGGGAGGGCCTGAGGCTGGGTTCCCAGCCAGCTCTCTGCCAGGGAGGGAGCCCTCCGAGACCCCCTGGGTCCCACCCCTCCCATCCCTCACCGGCTCTTCTCTCCTCAGTCAGCTTCTGCCCGCCGCAGCCCTACCGGGAGCCCGAACCATCGGTGGCTGACCCCCCCTCCTGCCCCCTGGCTCTGGACATGAGTCTTCGGGACCCCAGCTACAGTATGACCCCTGCACCCTGCATAGTGGCCCAGCTGCCACCTGAGGACACGGGCCACCTCCCAGACGGCCAGGGTAGAGACCACGGCTTCTTGCGCACCAAGATGAAGGTAAGGCTGAGGCATGGATGGGGCGCGGGTCAAGGTGGGCCCGAGGGAGGGGAACCCACCTAGCACGGCCCCCGGGGAAGAGCAACGGGGCTCAGGAGGAATGCACCTTGGAGCCCATGTCCGGGCAGAATCTGGTTCATTTCTGGCTGGGAGAGGCCAGGCACACGGGAGAGGGGAGCCGCGGAGTCTGGCACAGTCACCACTGTCCCCCTGGCCGGTGACGGAGGTCAGCCTGCCCCACAGTGAAGCTGGGCCTGCCTTCCGGGAAGTTACAGTCTGGGAACACCTGCCAGTGGCAGCCTGGTTCCCCAGTGAGCTACAGCCACACTCCACAGCAGGAAGCTCACACCAGGGTGCTGTGGAGGCCAAATGTGTGCTGTAACCAGAGGGGATGGCACAGGGTCCCCTAGTTTCCCCATTCCCTCCTTGTGGTTGGGAAGGGCAGGATTCCCCAGCCAGAGAGAGATAGAGGGGCCATCGGGTCAGAGCTGTGCCAAACCCTGATGCAAGAGGTCTGGGGCAAGCTCGACACAAGGGAGAATTTTCCCAGATGCCAACATGACATGCTGGCTCCAGGTGTCTAGGAGGAAGTGACCGGGCCACCAAAGGGCCATCCCTGAGCACAACACCGACCTGCCCTTCCCGAATGCTGGCACGTAGAGAGGGCAAGCATCTCCTCTGCCCAGGCGACTGGGTGCCTGGGTTATGGCCTGGCAGGGTGACGGGGCACCAGGCTCATGGAAGGGCTTCGCTATTTGTGCCAGCAGCTGAAACCTCCTGGTTATAGGCGAGAGGGCCACCTGGGTGGGAAAGGCTCTGTGGTCCAGTTGTCGCCAGTGGACACAGCTGGGACCTGTGTCTCTGACATGCCAGGGACTTACTGCTCTCTGAGCAGCCAGAGGGAGGAAGGGGCAGGACTCCCGAGGGGCAGGTGTGGGCTCAGGGCTCAGGTGTGAAGCCCGGGAAGGGGCTGGGGACCCCTTCTCCGAGCCCTCCACGGGAGCCAACACCCCAGAGCTGTGGCTTTCAGAGGGGGGCCCTTGTCCTCCTCGGGAGGCTGGGGTCTCTGAGTCTTTGTCACAGACGCATTCCTGGCCCACAGGTGACCCTGGGGGACAGTCCCAGTGGGGACCTCTTCACCTGTCACCTGTGCCAGAAGGCCTTCACGTACCAGCGCATGCTGAACCGCCACATGAAGTGTCACAGTGAGGTGAAGAGGCACCTGTGCACCTACTGCGGCAAGGGCTTCAACGACACCTTCGACCTCAAGAGACACGTCCGCACCCACACTGGTAGGAGGGGGGGTCCCTGTGCACGGCGTGCTGGGCACCCCAGCTCCGGGAGGGGGGGTGTACGGGGGAGGGGGCGTGCCTTTTGGAGCGGAAGGCTCCCATTGTTCAGGGAGTTGGCCGGGAACCTTCAATAGTCCTGGGGGACGCAGGCCCCCTCCCTGACGCCCGGCCCTCCGCTCCCCGCAGGCGTGCGCCCCTACAAGTGCAGCCTGTGTGACAAGGCCTTCACGCAACGCTGCTCCCTGGAGTCCCACCTGAAGAAGATCCACGGCGTGCAGCAGAAGTACGCCTACAAGGAGCGCCGGGCCAAGCTGTACGTGTGCGAGGAGTGCGGCTGCACGTCGGAGAGCCAGGAGGGCCACGTCCTCCACCTGAAGGAGTACCACCCGGACAGCCCGCTGCTGCGCAAGACCTCCAAGAAGGTGGCCGTGGCCCTGCAGAACACCGTCACCTCCCTGCTGCAGAGCGACCGCCACCTGTGAGCGGCCCCGCCTGCCTGCTGCCCTGCCCGGTCCCCGTCGCAGCAGCCTTTTGCCAGGACAGAGGCGGCCACCAGCCCCCCCAGACAGGCGTGTTGGGCTGGCCTTCCGAACTGACCTCTGCTCCCTGCTCTTGTTTTGTCGTAGGGCAGCCCGGGCAGGTGTGGGCACCGAGGGGGAGTGGCAGGGGTCCCTGGGTGGCAGCACTTCTTCCTCAGGCCACCCTGCTGCCCTCCGCCCAGGCCTCGGGGTACAGAGGCGGCTCCACGGCTGCCACCCTGGGAGCCGGGGGCTGAAGGATTCCTACACTCAGGGCTGCGGGGAGGCTGAGAGGTGTGCAGGTGCGGGCACGCAGGGGGCCTTTCCACGGGTCACCTCGCTTTCAGGAAACTGACCACAAGGTGCCAGGGGGTTTTCTCTCTACCTTCCCTTTTTTTTTAAGATGACAAATGTACAGATATTAATATATTTTTGGTGCCGATGGCAACTGTTTTTAAGACCGGGATGGAGCTGGCTCTTTTCCGTTCCCACACGCTTCTATTTATCCAGGACCATCCGGGCCCCCCACCCTCTGTACCTCTGGGTGGCTTTAGCCCGCCATGGCTAGCTGCCTGCTGTCCTGCTGGCACAGCCCACCCTTGCTCTGCCCACCTGCATCCTCACTCGGCAGCCCCCGCGTACTGGGACTCACCTGTCTCCCCGAGGGGTAACTCACCTGGCTTTCAGGGTGACCAGGCGGGAGCACAAGTCTGGCACCCTGAGTGGACTTAGAACCGAGTGGAGCCTCGGAGGACAGCTGGAAAACGGGACAGACAGATAACCCCGCATGGGGCAGGATTATATTCCATTTCACACCAGCCCAACCTCTGGGGCTTGAGGGGCGAGGAAGGGAGCTGTCCCTGGGTGGGTTGGTGCTGTTTGAGGGCAGAGGGGAAAGACTCTGAGCCTTGACAGCTGGTCCGGGAAGCTGGGCACACCTGCAGGGCAGACCTTGTGGGCCAAAGGGAAGGGTGACAGCTCGTGGACACCCAGGAAGACATTTGCTCCACAGAGGATCCCAGCCCAGCAGGGCAGTGCCTCAAAGCCAGATCCACGGGAACCCAGCCTCCTGGGTGTCCCCAAAGAGCAGTGTTGGCCTGTGTCCCCTGCCAGGAAGGTGCCTTCTCCCGACTTCCCGCGGGTCTGTGTGGCACCTTGCGAAGCGTGTACAGACAGCTCCTGGACTCCCGCTTGATGTCTTCCCAGTATCTTGTACGACGCGCTGGGCACCGCCCTCTTCTGAAAGCGATGGGGCACAGTGAGGTGACACGGGAGACTCTCTGGGAGACCCGATTTTGTTTACATTTGTGTCCCTGGGTTCCTGGTCCATCCGAGGGAGCCATAGGGTCTGTGCTGTGCGTTTGCCAACTTACCCTCGATATTAAACTATTCCTGAACTTGTCCCATGAGCCTCTGGTTGGTTGGTTTTTTTCCCCTCCCTGCAAGGAGGCTAATTGAAATAAGGGATCAAGGCTAGTCAGAGCACCCTTCTGCCTCACTGTTACCCATAGGCCTTAGGCCTGATGCCCTGGACTCGGGGCAGTGTGGCCACCCCTGGGTCAGCTCTTCGGCTGCCGTGAGCTCTGTCTGGTGTCCAGCCTCAGCCAACCACCTGGCTGAGCCACAGCGAGCTGGCACTCTGTGCCAATAGGCAGTGACCACTGTCCCAGTGACTTGCTTCTCAGTAAGGCCCACTCACTGCTCCTCACCCACCAGCCCTGAGGTAGGCTGGCAACCTGGACCCCAAGCCGTAGGTAGTGGTACTGACGTACCCTCCTGGCCCAGGCCCGGCTGGTACCCTGGACACCCGAGTCCCTGCTCCATGTCCCTGCATCAGTCACACTGGCCAGAGGGACCCCACATGGGAGCGGGGTGGGGGCAGGTCCCCAGGTCTGCACTCTGAGACACTTGAGAGGTGCCACAGTGACCTGACCTGCTCGGAGCTCTTGATAAAAACCAACTGCTATCAAGTCTGCCCCAGTGGGTTTCCAAGATGAGCTCTGGGTTGCTTTTTTTAAATTTATTTTTTAGGTGGCTCCATTGAGCAATGGATAGCGCATCGGACTGCTAATTTATTTTTTCAGGAGAGACAGCTTTATTGCCAGAGAGCTAAGCCGGCAGTCTGCCGACCACAGAATGCGTCACTGGGTGACTTGCCATGGAGGACATGAGCTTCCCCATCCCCTAGGCACCTCCTTCAGTCTCGGGGGCACTGACCCCCTTCCACAAGGACCATCTTCCTTTGGCCCTGGGCCTGCCACTGGCCACAAAACAGCCACCACAGCTCAGGGGGACATGGTTGCAGTCTCGCACTCTGGGGTCCCGCCTGCTCCCTGGAGGTGGCTGTAGGCCAAGCTATGGGGGCACCTCGGGCATTGTCTCAGGTGGGGGGGGGCACTCTTCTCGGAGATGGCCCTGGTAGAGCCGGCAGAGGCGGGGCAGCTCGCTCTGGAGGCTGTTGCCACCTGTACCACGGGTACCAGGGGTCTCCCAAAGCCAGGGTGGGGTACCACTCAGCTCCTCCTCGTGAGGACTGAAATCAAGGTCACGTAGGGAGTGGGGAAGCAGGGAGACTGGCATGGCTGCCCGGGGGTGGCTGCTTGTGTCGTTACATGCAGACCTGTGTGTGTGGAGCCGGGAAGAAGATACCCCCGTGGGTGCCAAAAACGGTTCCAAGACCTTCAAGTTCTGAAGGTTCACATGCAACCTGTGCCCCTGGCAGATGGGCGAGGGTTCCACAACGTTAGTCCCACGAATGCCCATCTTTCCCGCCCTCGGTGAAGGCGTGCCACCCTCAGTGAGTGGTGTTGGTAGTCAGCCCAGACACGGCGAGAACCATCGTGGCTCTGGTCTTCTTCGGAGTCCAGGTATTCCCAGGGCTCGTGTCCCAGGAAGAACTAGGGCCCGGAGTCTGGAGGGAACCCGGAGCTGCACGGGCACTTGGCAGCGTAGTCAGTGAGGAGGCCGCCATCCTGACATCCGTCCAGTGTCGGACGGAGCCCGTCCCGCTCTCCGAGAGTAAATGCTCTGGTTTGCTTTGGGGCGGCGGTGGGGTTTCCCGCTGCTGATCTCCTAGTTAGCAGCCCGATGCGCAGCCATGAGGCCACCAGGGTTCTGCCTGAGCGAGGTCGAACCAAAGCCCAAACTTGCAGCGGTGGAGTCCGTGCCGACTCAGTACCCCCTGCGGGTTTCTGAGACTAACTGCTGGCGGGAGTAGAAAGCCCAGTCTTTCTCCCGAGACGCTCAGTGGCTTCAAACTGCCGATCCTGCCGATCGCAGCCGCCCAACGCATAACCAGGACACCACCAGAGCGCTGTGAGGTGCTGAGAGTCGGGCCCCTGAGCCCGAGCGACCCCTTGTGCTACACAGCAGAACCATGTAGGGTCCTAGGCCTTTCCTATGGAGCCCCCTTGCTGGGCGGTTTGGGGTGACAGCCCTTCCCAACCCTCCAGGGCTCCTTTGACCTCCCTTTTGTCTCGAATCTCAATATCGAGGCCTGGAGGCTTGGGTCTTATCTGGCGAAACTTCCCAATTTGAAGGACTCACCAAATCCCATTTTCACCTGTTTCTGGATTAGCTTGAGCCCATTGTTGGGCTGCTGGGATGATTAACTGTTCTGTAAACATGAGGAAGCCAGCAGCGAGGGGTGGGGGGTGGGGGGCCCTGTGCTCCCCCTGAAGAGGCGCAGGGTGACACAGAGCCTTCCGAAGGGCCCCTCCCAGGTAGGGCCAGCGGGCGCTTGAGTTTTGAGCTGGTGCCAAAATGTACTCCAGGCTGGGCAAGAAGAGCTGGGGACAGCTCTTTGCTAAAAGGGAACTAACTACAGTACACACTACCCAGCCCCAGCCCTGCCCAGCCCAGCCAGGAGAGAAGAGCAGAGATAAGAGGAGATAAGGGACCAAGGGCAGAGGGCGTGGCTGGGCTGCAGGGATGGCCAAAGGCACTTTCCTGGTCCGACAATGTACTGGAAGGCTTCTTGGGAGCAGTGGGCTGGGGTGCGGCTGGGGGGTGAGGAAATAAAATATTCTGGAGAGAGGAGCGTTCCAGTCTGTGAAGAAGAGGATCCAAGACCTGGCGAAGGAGTGTGGCCCGTGGGTGAGGCCACGGGTCTCCTGAGCTGGGCCCACGATGCTGCCTTCATTTCTCTGGCCACATTGAGCCCCGCTGAGTGCCAATAAGGAGCTCTGAGAACAGCCTGATTCTGAGGCGGGGAAGTCGGGTGGGACCCAGCCAAAGGCCCTTAGGAAGGACTTTGGGCAGCAGGACTGTGCTCACGGGGCTGGGTTTTCAGAACTAGATGGCCAGGCCTTTTCTCCGAGGTGGATGGGAACCTGGCCCTCTGGACCACGCGGAGACTCCTAGGACGACGGTAGAAGAGGCCTGTTCTTACGCCTTGGAAAAAAAGAAGAAGAAAAGAGAAAGAAGCCAAGTGGAAGGTGGAAAAATCTCAGTCAATGCCGTTCCGAGCCACCCTCTGTATCTGTCTGCGTTGAACGCTTCTTGTAATGAAGACGCCGTCTGTTTTTTACAATCAGAAGAAAATCAGGTTGTAAGAAAACTTAGAATGGAGGGGTTCCAGTCGATTTGAACCCTAACCCATCAGCCGGGAGAACAGCAGCAACCACGGCCACCTCACTGCCGCCGAGCCGATGCGGACTCAGCACCCTCCCAGGACAGGTCGAAAACCGCCCCTGTGGGTTCCCGAGGTTGGAACTCCTCACGGGAGTAGCAAGCCCCATCTTTCTCCCTGGGACCAGCTGGTGGTTCTGAACTAAGGACCTTGCAGATCTCAGCCCGCCACGTAATCACTACACCACCAGGGGCTGCCCCGAAACGCACCGTACCGCATCTTCGGCAATCACAGAGCCTGCGGACAACGCCCGGGCCCCTGAGCGCTGTGCGGTCTGTGCACAAACAGGAACCTGAAGTCAGGAGACTGAGGCCCTGCTTCTCAGTGTGACCTTGGGCACATCGTTTGTCATCTCAGTTTCCTC